GATTAACGGTTTTCTGTGATACCTCACACACAAAATGTTTGCTGTGACAACCTGTTTAATTTAATTTTGTGTTTAGAATTATAATGCGTTGTGAACCATACCCAAATGTGCTGGTTAAAAAAAAGACATAATGTTATTCCTCTGGCAGTGAAAATAGGAGCGATTCATCATTCAGTTGCAAAGCACTGACCTTTTCTGTATATACATTCTGCATTTCTCATCCTCTTATTTGGGATTTCTTCACAATTTCAAAAGATATTTAAGTTGGCTATGTGAATGGTGTTTACTGGGGAGTCCTGCATCATTTTTCTGTGACCCTGTAAAATGAATTAATCAGGTGTAATAAAAAAATATTTTTATTTAACCACAAAAGCTTAATTGAGATTTAAAAAAAAAAAAATGTTTTCAAGAGTGTCCTGGCCAACATGGGCAGCAGTAAAAATGGGTTCCAGATTAAAAAAAAGTAAAACAGACTAAATATGACAGACAGATCAGGCAATGGTAAACTCTTAAACAAAGACTGACAATTGCCAAAATTTAAAATAAAACCAGAAGCCTAAAAACATTAGAATATTAAAATGGTAAACAGCTGTCTAAAACCCTCAAACAATAAGTTGTTAATGATGAACTGACAATAAAAAAGGCTAGAATTTGAATATGAATTAACATTTATTTTGAAATACAACTGTCTACCTTTTTCTGTGTGCCCTCCTCAGTCAGAGAGAAGGGAACTCCGAAGACCATGGGCTATCCTGGTATTGGCTCGGACTGTTGTAGCAAGCTGAAAGAGCCAGGCGGCGGTTTACATGGGGACTCTATCGCTGACTCCATTGATTTATCGGGCAAGAACAAGAAGCGGCGCAATCGCACCACCTTCAGCACCTTTCAGCTGGAGGAGCTGGAGAAAGTGTTTCAGAAGACACACTATCCTGACGTGTACGCACGGGAGCAGCTGGCCCTGAGGACTGAGCTCACTGAGGCTCGGGTTCAGGTGTGTGATAGAGCCTCATGTTTCACACTATTTCATTTTTGAGTTTCTGACCTTAACAAGACCTGTTTTCTTCTAAAACTTTCCTGTTATACTGTATTTTTCTATTTGAAAGGTCTGGTTCCAGAATCGTAGAGCCAAGTGGAGGAAACGGGAACGCTATGGGAAGATCCAGGAGGTCCGCAACCACTTTGCTACATATGACATCTCTCTTCTTCCTCGCCATGACACATACCAGGTAGGCCACTGCCAATCATAAATGCCACACATGTTTTAGTTGTACACGTAAGCATTATTATAAGCATTTCCATGTTAATTATATTAAATTCAATATCGATCATCTCCAAAATCTCCCCCATCCAGATGCAGGGCAACTTGTGGCCAGGGGCGGCTTCAGGAGGAGGCGGTGGTTCAGGTGCCGGCTGCGTCCTAGGAGCTGACTCCATCCCCTCGTCCTGCATGAGTCCATACCCTCACCCCCACAGCAATCTGCAGGGCTTCATGGGCATGCCCCCATCCCCCAGCCATCCCCACCACCACCACCCACCTCACCATCCGGGCATCAACGGCCTCTACTCGCTCCACAGCTTCCCAGGAGGCCTCGGGTCCCCTTCCATTGAGGGGCCGGAGACTGAATACAAGCCGACGGGCCTGGTGGCGCTGCGGATGAAAGCCAAAGAGCCAGGCAGCATCCTCTCCTGGCCTACATGACCACAACAGTGCCAGCTCCCCATTATGCACTGACTGAGCCAAAGCATATTACATTCCTGACGCATAGTCAGTCAGGTGGGTGTACACACCCACCTAAGCATATGACTCAAATATTTCCTCTTAACATTTATATAAGCCAACTTGGAGACTTTTCACAATTCAGAAGATCTTGGAATAAGAATTGAGGGCAACTTGACTTCTTGCACGAAAACCCAGCGTATTAATTGGAACTTCAATGTTTTCAGTTTTAGTTTGATATCACAATGCTGAGACCAAAGAGGAAAATTATTTAAGCATGTAAAAACTGTAATTATCATATTAATCATTGTTTTTTTTGTCTGTTGTGCTTTATAGTGTGACCAGTAATAAAGGCCTCCATCTAAAGCATCTGTCTTATTCAGTAAAAAACTATTGTTGGGAAAAAGAGATGAAGAGAAAACAGTCTCAGCCGGGAATTGTTTTAGCCTTGACATGACTCTTTTAAAAAACGATAACCAAAGAGAGTTGACCAAAAGTCTGTGTCGCAAATGTAACTAGGAATGTTGTTGTGAAGCAAAAATGCTTCTCAGACTGTGGTTGCCATAAACACAAAGATTTCTGCTGTGCAGGAAGTGAGCTTCTTTGTATTCGAGGAGTACACAGAGAGACCGTACACGTGCAGCCCACTTGGCCTCACTTCAAGAGGCCTTCAGGTGGCACCTCATGTATCAGGAGCGAGTGGCAGGTTCATTAATGGAAAGCTAACTGAGCGACCACACTTCACTATTGATGATAAAGTGTAGAGCCTCCCACAGACGGCTGCTTTCACATCGAGGCAGGCATTTCTCATTCACATCTGGCATCAGTGGTAAACCCGACCAACTGAGTAATGAGTTACAGTTTAATAGAAGAAATTGGGTTACTGTAGCCTAGAGCGTATTAGTTTGCTAATATTGGTCACTGAAGCAAGTTTATCTGCTTTCTGCTTTTATTTATAAATACATATGTGTTCATGTATTGTCTTTTTAAAGACAAATATGACATAGATATGTTGCTGTGGCATACAGAAGTCTCACGTGTATGCTGAATGCATTCCTAATAATTGTTTTCAGGAAATCTCCTTGTTGTGCTTTACCCCAAACGATTTACTTTATTGTCAAGGAAACACTGAATTGCATGGTACATCCCATCTGGTGTAAATTACTAAATACCAACATATTCATGTCAGATGTGCAAACATTTCAATCTGTGTGAGATTGAAAATGCAACTTGACAAGAGAAAAAAAGAAAGGTTCCACTGGTGGACAAAGCCCTCCCAAGCTCCACTTACTCCCCAGGAGTGTACATGGCTTACGGCAGAATATATTGGCTCTTCTTTCCCTTTGCTTGCTTCACCATGACAGCCATGCTGTGGTGGATTAGCTGCCATTCCCTGAGTCTGTGCCGGGGTTTTGTGGGAGCCACTAACATGTGGTTCCAATAGAAGAAACCCATCAGAAACACTTTCCACACCCACAGCTTCAAATTCCAGCCAGGCCCTGGGAGACAGCAGCCCTTACTGCAGTTACATAGCCCCCCTGATTAAATCCCAGATTAAGTGGAGAAGATAAGAAGACCTGTCAGTAGGGATAAGGGATTGAGGCGATGGCCATCTTTAGGAAAGCTGGAGAAATGGCAGATGGAGGATCAGTACTAAATTTCAATATTTATTTTTATATAGGAAGCAGCAAATGTATCTGTGCATAAACAAAAGAGGAAACTGTAAATAAATAAATGCAGTACGGTTTATTCCACTTAAAATAAGGACAGAAACTAATGACCTCATCTTATAATAGGCAGTCATAAGTTTGGATTAAGTTGTCTTTAAAGTTACAATGGTGTGGTACAAACTTTGATCTGTATTGACTCAATATATCAGGCTACAAAGGTTTTATATGATTTGTCAGAAAAGAAATTAAAACTGTTGAGTTAAGTCTGCACAATGAATGGGGCAGTTATTAACTAAGCATCACTCTGTGTGTCAGGGTCATTGGGTGAAGACTGTCACTAAAAGCTGGAAATTACTATACCCTTAGCCTCATTAATGGACAAAAAAATATGATTTAATGCTCATTAAAATCTGTAACGCTGCCTGCTGGCCACTGTTCTGAGCTTTGATCTCAGCGAGATTTATCTCGGCCTTGAAGTGCAGCTATTGTGACACAACGGATCCTCGTATTTGAAGTAGTCCAACAGCATTAACATGTCCCGCTAAGCTTAACAATGTGGTGGCACAGTGTGGCCAGCTCAGTTACAGCGGAGTGAGGCAAGTCCAACACAGTCTGTCGTTAAGGATTTGGCTGCTTCCAGACATTTATCAGTCGAACTTCATTCAACAGTTCATCTGCAACAAACAACAACCCGTCATATTAATAATGCCACATTTAGTTGACTATACTTGTACAGTGTGCACAAAATGTTTTTTTTTTTACACATATCCAAAAGAGCATAAGCATAATTCAAGCAAAAGTTTGACTCAGAAATAGGGAGAACTCCATTAAAGGAGGCGCAAAAGCCAAATAAGTCATCCATTTTCATTTTACTTTCAATTTATACCTTCAAAAAAGAAACTCTTGTATCTAAAAGTAAAGAAAATGTCAGAAGTAACCTATATAAAAGGCCCTAAGACATATAATGGCAGTACTTAACTTGGCTACTTAATTAGGCTACTTATTAACTTAAAAGACTTTTATTTTATTTTTTCATCCTTATTAAAGTCCTACAGTTAGGACTGGAGCTTGGCTACTGTATACACCTGAGATTATACATGACAACTGGTTTATTAGCAGCTCGCTTCGCCCACATACCCTCAGAGAAAGGCCATCTTACTATCCAAGGTCATTTTTAAGGATTAGATAAGGGCTTATGTGCTACTGTACCCTTTGAGCTGCTGTTCAAACACTGCCACCTTGTGGTTTTAGTCAAAACCACATTTTATTAATTTTATTCCCCTCCTGTGAAATTTTACATTAGTTTGTTACAAAGTCTGGTCATTTAAGATGAGTGTGCACTGTCAATAATAATGAAGTCAAAACAGGAGCGGCTCACAAAATGATAAATAATAAATTAACTGTAAATGTTTAAATAAATACCACCATGTCGTGCTGATATTTGTTCAGTATTGTGAGACCACTGATGGCTTTATCCACCGCCTTCACTTCGTTACAGCATGTGAAAAATACATTTTTATTTTAAAACTCTCAGCGGATGATTGACAGGCGCTTTCAAGTTTTCCACCCACTTTTCCAGCCAATCAGGTGGAAGGGGCGGACCGTCGCGCTAATCTTTACAAAATGGCGACTGTTGTTGTTTTGCCGCAGGGTCAGTGAATAAATCCGTTTTTCATTGCAATACTTTTCTGCACTAAATTGCAGAAACAGCTCTAAATAAAAGCCCAGGCGTCCCAAGGGTCGGCTCCGTGTGGACTGAAATGAAAGGTAAAGAGCGGTCGCCGATTAAAAAACGCTCCCGGGCCCTGGACGATATTCGAGACAGGGGAGGATGCCACCCGACCAGCAAGAAAATGGGGGCTCTCTCCGTTTCCAGTGGGAGTAATAATGGAAATAGCTCGACCAAGAGCGACGGCGGCTCGACGAGAAGGAGTCTGCTCGGCGAAAAAAGAGACCGAGACTTCGACGGCCACAGCCGGACGGGAAACAACCACAGTTTGTCGGCTGCGGTTAGCTCCGTCGGTAAGAACCACAACCTGAGCCTGACGCTGGATTTAGCCTCGCCGAGGACCGCCTCACGGGGGGAGCAGCGGGTCCAGCCGCCCAGCGCCGAGAGTGAGTACAAAACCCTCAAAATAAGCGACCTCGGCACGCAGCTGAGCGACGAAGACATAGAGGACGGACTCTTTCACGAGTTTAAGAAATTCGGCGACGTGAGCGTGAAGATCAGCCGCAGCAACGACGAGCGGATAGCCTTCGTGAATTTCAGGAAGCCGGAGGACGCCCGGGCTGCGAAGCACGCCAGGGGACGGCTGGTGCTGTACGACCGTCCGCTTAAAATAGAGGCGGTGTACATTAACAGGAGGAGAAGCCGCTCGCCTGTGGAGAGAGACTTGTATGGTGCAGCTCAAAGCCATAGACATTTGCAGAGACCCCTCTCGCCCACCGGGCTCGGATACAGAGACTACCGGCTGCAGCAGCTTGCCTTGGGACGGCTCCCCCCTCCCCCGCCGCCCCCTTTGCCCAGAGAGCTGGAGCGGGACAGGGAGTTTGCTCTGTTTGAAGCCAGGGCACGTCCGGCTTTCATTGCAGAGCGAGCAGCCTTTCGTGAGGAGGATTTTATATCTCCAGAAGATGACCAAAGAGCCAATAGGACGTTGTTTTTAGGCAACCTGGACATAACTGTTACAGAAGCAGACCTGCGGAGGGCTTTTGACAGGTTTGGGGTCATAACAGAAGTAGACATTAAAAGACCCACAAGGGGACAAATCAGCACATATGGGTTTCTGAAATTTGAGAACCTTGACATGGCTCACCGGGCTAAGCTTAGTATGTCTGGAAAAGTAGTGGGCCGCAACCCCATAAAGATAGGTTATGGGAAAGCAACTCCCACCACACGCCTGTGGGTGGGTGGACTTGGACCGTGGGTTCCTTTAGCCGCCCTGGCAAGAGAATTTGATCGCTTTGGCACTATAAGGACCATTGACTACAGAAAGGGGGACACTTGGGCCTACATTCAGTATGAAAGTTTGGACGCTGCACAAGCGGCATGCACGCACATGAGGGGCTTCCCACTAGGAGGTCCCGAGCGGAGACTTAGAGTTGACTTTGCTGACACTGAGCATCGTTACCAGCAGCAGTTTCTGCAGCCTCTCCCAATACCTCCGTTTGACATGGTGGCTGAGTCGTTTGTCCACCGGGCCACTCCTGAACCTCTGAGGGTCAGAGAACGGACTCCACCGCCACTTCACTTCAGGGAGAGAGAGCTCTTTCCTGGAACTGAGTGGCCCAACCCGGCCATTCGTGATCGGGTACGTGCCTCGCCCTTTGAGCCTCTGGAGCACTTGGAACGTGAGCGGCGGGCACGGGAGCCCTGGTCTTTGGAACGAGAGCTGCAAGGACGGGAACCTGCTCGCAAGCGGCGTGTGATGGAGGATGGACGACATATAGACCACTCCCCCGACAGCACTGAGAGGACAGTAAGGCGCAGACGTGCTTCTCCAGATGGTAGTCCTGGGGGTAGCAGCAGAGATGGAGGGCGCTTCAGTGACTCAGAGCGCCCTCTGCGGGGCGAGAGACCCTCCCCCGTACGAGAACATCACAGCAGCCTGGAAAGAGGTGGGGCTGAACGGAGACTCAAAACCCAGAGTCTCTCTGACAAGGGACCTTCAAGTAGCAGCGTTTCAGCAGTTGGAGAGCGAAAGCGCAAAGCAGGCGATGGCGGTAAGGGGCCGGCCAAGAGAGAACGTTCTGAGAGCAGTGCCAAGGGAGGCCAGCCGTCCAAACCAGACGGCACCAAACTTGGTTTGGCCTGGCACGGCATGCTGTTACTCAAGAACAGCAACTTCCCGGCCAACATGCACCTGCTGGAGGGCGATCACAACGTAGCCAGCGAGCTGCTTGTTGACGGCACAACGGGGAGGCAGGTGAGCGAGCTAAAGATCACCCAGCGTCTCCGTCTGGACCAGCCCAAGCTTGACGAGGTGTCCCGGCGCATCAAGGTGGCGGGTCCCGGTGGCTACGCCATCCTGCTGGCAGTTCCTGGGGCCACAGAGGATACATCTTCGTCCGACCCTGCAGCATCAACTCAGCGGCCGCTTCGCAACCTGGTGTCCTACCTCAACCAAAAACAAGCAGCTGGAGTCATCAGCCTGCCTGTGGGAGGGAGCAGAGATAAAGACAACACAGGGGTTCTTCATGCTTTCCCTCCCTGTGATTTCTCCCAGCAGTTCCTGGATTCCTCTGCCAAAGCTCTGGCTAAAAGTGAAGAGGACTATCTGGTCATGATTGTGGTTCGTGGAGCATCTTGAAAAAAATCAGAACACACTAAGTTCAAGTATTGTTAAAAAAAAAAAAAAAACCTGCTGTATGTCAGTAACTATTGCATGCTGTGTGTTCTGCATTATGGGGTACACTAGTATGGTTCTTGAGTGTTTGTATGTTGCCATGTAATCTACTAAAAGGACAAACAGTGCCCTCCTACAAAACTGAAAGGATGTGTGTTTTTGAAATTATTTTTAAAGGGTGTGTGAATTGCTCACAAGGTCATAAACTGACAGTAATTCAGTCAGAATACTGGAGAACAGTAAATATGAGGAGCATTTGCTTGAATAAATTTCAATTTCATTTAAGAAGAGATAAGTCATATAGAACACATTTTTGGTTCATTTAACAGGTTGTAAGATCTTAACGTTCCATCTCTATTACAAGAAAAGAAGTAGAGAATTTAGAAATGCAATGAATGGACACAATAACGCCTCCACAACAATAAAACCACAAACTACGGCCTCACAAGCTCCTATGGTGTTGAAGACACATCTCTGACACAGTGTTAACAAAAGGCTGAAAATGAAAAGCTTAACAGAGGTCACATATGTTTCTGGGCTATTGTACGTTATTGCCTTAGTTTGTATAGGTGGTGTTATTGTGTCTACCTCTTCTGCAGGTATTTACATGAGGGGAATCAGAAAACATCCTTTTTTCAAAGCTTTGAACCTCAGTGCAATAATATTTCTACTATAATCACTTTTTGATGGGTGGAGAGAAAGGTGTGGCATTTTTAAATAGAAGGTTTTCAGTAAAGGTGTAGTGAATGATTTGGTACTGCAGTTACAAAGCTAATCTCTCTCCGGGAAGATTTTGACGGTCAAAAAAACGTCTCACAACTCTTCTTCAGCACACCACGCTCCCTTCACCAGATATGTTGTTTTGGCTAGCTCGCCTTCCTCAGGTAACCACCCTGATCACAACAAGATAGCTTAAACGGTTCGGTGAATGGAGTTTGGTGTGCTGATGAGTAGTTGTGCGACGTGTTTTAATTCTTATGGACCGTCTCTAGATACACGTCACACATTTCAGTTACCGATGTTAGGTTTGAAAAAATTACAAATTATGTTCAGGTTCACGGTTTGAATTTGAGTGTATCTTTTTATTATTGTGTTCCTCAATATTGGAACACCAAATTGCAAGATAGACAATGAACTCAGTGTGTGTGCACTGGTAAAACTAAATTGTTATGTCAAGTCTTTGTGGAATGCTGAATACTAACAGATGTGAGACAGGGAACATAACATACGCATAGCATAGTAAAGCAAATACTAACATGTTTTTCATATTTTTTACTTCATATTTTATTTTGTGCATCCCTACCTTAGAAATGGTTGTGTAATGTGATCTATGAAAAACTACATTAGTAATGGATAAAAAGCTTAGAGAGTTTTGTGTTGTTTCATTTATTGCTCTAAAACCAGTAGGTCCTCCAAGAATAATAATATTCAGTATCAGTAAAATGTTGGTACAAAGTAACAAAAACCTGCTATTTGTTCAGTAAGTAGGTCTGTGTCATTTTAAAGTGTTAGAAACACTTTAACAGTTAATGTTTGAATTTAAATATTAGAGGTTTAAATTGGACAATATTTTACTCATGCCTGCCAACATGTTTCCAAGGCCTACTTACCGTATTTTGTTTTGCCATTGTATGTTTGTCATGCAATAGTAACAGACCCTGGATTATGATTTGCTGAGTTTGGTTTAATATGTATTGAAAACAATATGTCGGAGAAATGTTATATGTGTGAACACCACACCCACTTCAACGTTGGACTTTTGAGGAGACGAGTGCAGAGCTGAAACCACTGCAGAGAAGGCAACCTAGTGTTTGTGAGTCCTCACTAATGAGGCAGCTTTTAAGTTGTGTGTCCCATCTGCACCTGTGATGACTTCTGTTTTAAATGGAAAATTGAGCAATGTACACTTTGATGTCATGGGAAAGGAAAATCCGTAGAGCCCATGCGAAGCTGTTCACATACCTGCAAGTGCGTTTGGGCACTTAATGTGACCGATTATCAATAAATTGTTCATTTGAAGGGAAACATGTTTCTTCGATGGAAGTCAATTGAAGAAACAAGCTGCCATGCCTTATTGTGTTTCGAAGGAGTTGTCACTTGAAATTTTGTTTCTGCACACGAAAAAGGGAGACAATTTGCAGTTTGTTTAGCACCAGTGAAGAGAGACCCCTGTTTCGTGTGAGGATCGCTGTTTGCTTACAGGCCTGTTCTGGGCTCCTAAGTTGCCAATCTAAATTACTCCCCTCATGTTCCCCTGTTATACCCTCAACTGTTCCTGTTGGCATGTGAACACCCGATCAGGACCGAGGAGCCTCCACTGCCCCCTTGTTTACAGCCAGAATCCAGTTTGCAGTGTGAAATGGTGGCAGATGCAGACAGCGTCGCAGTTCGGGAGTCGAGGGCCGGAGCAAACAACAGCACGTGCCGGTATCCTGTTGTCTTCCCCGGTCATTACTCTAAAGGTTTCATGTGCTTTGTTCCTGGTCCTGAATAGGAGCTGAGGAAATCCCATCACCGCCTGTCACACACTCCACTCGGGAGATTGTGGGTGACACCGCTCTGAAATTTCCATAGAATCTACAGTTCAGGCTCTCTCGCTGCAGAGGCCAAGCTGAACCACTGGGCTGATTTGTCTTTATTATACTTTGCCCAGTTATGATTTGATTTGACTTAATGTTTGGCTCAGGGAAGAGGATTGGCCCAACCCTCAGCTAGGAATATTGTTTTCCCCCCCATCTTTGTGTTCTCCTCTGATTGAACCCTCTCCGAGGAGACGAGTGAAGCGTTGGCTGTGCTGAAGCTGTACTCCATCGTCATCTGAGGTCTGCTGCAGCATGGAAATTAAATACGAACAGGGCAAATTGTTTACCCTTTTTGACACCGCTGGAAGGAATCCACACTGCGGACCCCGCCCCTCCCCCAAATTCTTCTAGGAGATCTGTTTGTTTAAGTTTATGGCCACTTTACGCAGGAAAGAAAATTTTCCATTTCCTTCTACCATCCATTTTAGTCATGTTAGTGTGAAAACAAATGCTGTGTTCTGTGCTGAGAAGGACCCCTTACCTCACTAGAGAAACATTGCCATCTTGAGGACCACGGAGCTCCTGCTTTCTCCCCCTCACAGTGTACCTGACAAATCACACTAATGCACACCAGACATCCAGGACAGAGCTGGTATCACTATATGACTGCTGTGTACAAACGGCATGAGGGTGAGTAAAGAGACAAAGTGCTGCCTGCCAGATCTGTATCGGTGGCTTAGGCAGCAGTGGTAAGTATAAAGTGTCAACACCACATTTTTTAATATAACAAATGCAAAATGGGACACTAGTAGCCAAAGTCATTGCTGACCTTATCTCCACTGATGGCAGTTGGCATGAATCCAATTGTGTAAAATAATATGATGATTTACTGCCCACAATAACCTATTGAAGATAGTGCTGCAGCTGAAGAACAAAATTATAACATTTTCTCAAATAGATAACATTTAAATAGCCTTGATAATACACTCATGTAGATGCTTTTGTTTACATTCTTTGCAAAATTGATGTTAAAGTTTGAAATGAAATTGGGTGATTTTTGTACAGTCAGTTACAGGCTACAGCTGCTGTTGAAGCTCCTGCCTACAGTAGGGAAAAAAATCATTTTTAGGTGATTTTGCAGCCTTAGTAGAGCTTTAAAACCAAATGGGGATTACTATCATTCACTTAAAGATTAATAATATGTTAATATGATGTGGTCTGTGAGAAAACTCTTGTAGTACTAATTGATTTACGGCAAACCAAAAAGCAGCTTCAAACCACTGTATTCTTTTTTTCATCATTAATATTGGACATATTTCAATAAGCCACTCATGATATATATGTAATGTTATTGATCCTGCTTAAAGAAACCTTTATTAGATTATTTCTTGCTCAAGCCTAAAGCATTATTTTCACAAATGTAATTTAAAGGAATTATAATAACAGAAGAAAATTGCTTCTGCCACAAAACTGTCTTTTGCATAAAGAAATGTAAACAACTACAGGTCCCAGTATTAGTTCATGAGAGATTTAAGGGAAGTCCAGACCTGGACCCTATACAATCATCACATGCCAACAGTTAGCATTCAAAATGTAGTTTGTGAAAATAAAATCCATCCGTGGCCAATACTTGTTTAATCTGTCAGCCAGCACTTCTCTTCAAGTCACTTGTCAAACTGACACAGTGTCTAATAATGCAGAGTTAATGAAAACCAGAGGGACATGCAACTAAACACTCACTCATCAATATATTTAGCAGCAATAGAATGCTTTGTAAGGAGTTCAAAAATAAAGAAATATTCACTCAAGGTTAAAAGAAAAGATATACATTAGTCATTGATTTACAGGCAGGACTTTTGTCTTGACACAGTGTTAAGAAAATAGGCAAATTTTTACCTTCTTGAAACATGGAATTGTAAAATTTTACAAATGTTAAAGGTTACTTGGTGAAATCAGTTTACCTACATGAAGAGAAATTAAAACAGCTCATAAAGTTCATCATTATAATATACAGACACCGCATCAAAGTGTCACCAGTGTTTTCTTTCCAAATAAGGGTTATAACCTATAATCCTTTGCAAAGGTACCACATTATAATTTTGTTAGTAAGATATCTTGGGATGGTCAAATTACCTCAGTTTGACACATCTCAGGTTATAATATTTGCTCCTGCATTACTACTAGAAAGATCATCTGATCTGTGACGAACAGTAATTTATAAAAACAATTTCTGCTCTCCTGCTGATTGCAGTGCAGTTTATTGCAGTATAAAGACCTCACTTGGATATTGTATGTTGACCAGCATTAACATATCTAAAAGCAAGAGATTTATTTCATTAACAAGCATTTTCAAATAATTTACACTGTCATAAGTGGAAATGTAAAACATGTCTGTATTTTTCGTTTACAGACTTCCACTGGGCCGCAGTTGGTGCATCAGTTTGTTTCCAGGGTGCCGATCAACACACCATCAGGTGTCGTCTACTGTAAGTAACCCGTTTGTTTTGATTAACGGTACATTAACAATATGAAATGACATAAAATGTGGAACCCTTTTTTCTACAAAGTGAAATAATGACAAACATTTGTTGGCTCTATTTTTAAATCCAAGATGAAAATAAATGTAATATGTAGATAAATGATGTTGTTTCTTCACTTCAGTGTGCTTTAAAAGTATACATGGTGTGTCAATAAAACTTGTTAAAGATGTTGCAAGTTGTGTGTGTGTTTTGTTTTCAGAAAGACAGAAACTGGCCGAGTATCAGTGCATTTATTGCCGAGTTGTCTGAATCACACAAGAACAGAATTGAGTCACATGTCAGTTTATTACAGCTGACTGAGCACTGTTACAAGGTTTAAAAATGAACTCTAAGGGCTCAGAGCAGGATATCTATCATTGGTTAAGCATATTCTCTAAAGTATCAGTTCACAAATCTAGGATCCAGAGTAGTGACAAAACAGTGCAACAATACAAGATCAAACGCCATCGAACAGAACTCAGTTCCTTATCAGAGGTGTTTGAGACATAGACAGATAAAAATCATTTCAAGATATTTCTCAAACATACAGTTCCTTAAAATATGCAGATAACTAACAAGTAAAATAACCAAACCAAAATCTACTTTTAAAGCATCAAATACTTTTCATAAAAAGATTTATTATGGTACAAAATATTCAGTGGTCCTCAATCACAAAAGCATACTGGTGGTGAATGCAACTCATGAGCCAAAAGAGCTTTTGTGCATGACTGTCGTTATTGAAACAATACAAAGAGCCTTGCTCAGTATTGTGAAAGTGAGTTGAGGGGGAATAATTTGGTACTAATTGAGACAGCATTCTTTGAGTAGAAGCGTCCCTCTGCCACAAGAGGGCAGCGTAACAAAACTAATTTTGGGCTGTCATCATGACTTGGAGATGTCTGAATAATGGGTGTTCATAGTGGTTTGAATGATATAAACTGTCCAAACTGTTTTTTTTACTAACAATAACCTTCAAGTTGTAGGTAGGTTTTCTAATGTGTCTTTGGCTGACATCACAGGAAAGTTAGTAAAGATACAATACAGTACCTTGTAAGGCAAACTGGTGAAAACACAAAATCCTCTGCTACATAAAAACAACCAACAGACTCAGACACATATAAACACAATATAATTATAGGTTGCATTACCAATAATTGGCTGCCTGCAGGCACTGTAAAAGCTGGGCAACAGTTTCCTTCTAGTCCAGTTGGGGCACTGTGCATCTTCTTCTATATGGGCAACTGCAGCAAAAAATCTTCATAACACAGTTGGTTTAGAGATTTACAGACATACAAGGTCGACAAAATGACACTTAACCACGCACACTCACACATAAACCCCTACTATATCAGCTCCATCGCCCCTCAGCCCAACTGTGATCAATATTTAGGAAACATCTAAACAAACAGGATTACTCTTTCAGGAGCTGTTATCTTTGCTACAGTTAAAATGATGTGCAAGTGAGCTGTTAATGACAGGAAAATCTCTCTCTGTGTGCACTTGCATAGAACAGCTCATAAACGATGAGCTAGGCGTGACCGTTTTCTCATCTGCAGATGCTGCCGAGTAACTGGAGTTATTTAAATGTGTATTATCATTACTGACCCATAGACGGAGAAAGGCAGTTGGTTTGTCATAGTATCTAAAATGTCACAACTGAGATTTTGATTTTAAAAAAGTAGAAAAAATGAAGTGTGTTTGTTTGCACTAAAGACTGCAGGTGCAAACACTGTAAACAGGTTAAAATGCCCTAAAATGTGATTACAGTTGAAGCACTCACACAGGTTGAATTTTGAGGTGTCAGTTGAAGTATTAGAGCTGAAAGCATGTGAAAATTTCAGTTTCATGTTTGTTTGTGGTCAGAAGCTATTTGTATGCGAGTGCTGAATGTGGTTAATCAGCTGAAGTGAGGAGATAAAGTCAAACTGTCAATTGCAGCATTAGAAATTACCGATGAAACTTAAGTTAAACGTTGAACAATAAAAGAAAGATAAGTACGAATACTACAAAGTACAAGAGATAGTAGAGTTGGTATGTAAATAGTGGCAGCAGTTTAAATGTCAGTTTAAATCTAAGAGATCAGAAGCAGTTGAGAGGGTTACTTAATGTGAAATCAGTGAGAGAAGTTAAAGGGTCAGTTTTTGTGCAAGTGCTCAACAAAGCTGAGATTTTAGTTTAACTTCCGACTGCCTTTGAATGCTTCATTTCCAGAAGTCAGTGTCACCAGCACAATTATTATCATAGTGTTATTATTAACACATGCATTATAGCTCCTGAAGTTTAAAGCTTCGAATGCAATTCCAGAAAGAAATATCTTAAAAAACTGAACTAATGTTGTTAGGTACAAAGGGTAGTATCAAGATGAAAGTATAGGTATAAAGGGGATAAAGAGGAAAATAAAATGGCCATATTGTCGGTGAGGGGAAAAAAATGGAAGAAAGATATCCAAAAATCTGAACAGAAGCACAGATGTCCTGAATGAGCTATATGTTTTGAAGTTTTGAATGGTGACTCTATTTGAAAGTAGTAGACGGATAAAAAAGCGTCTAGAACATTAATAATAAAGATATAAATACTTGAATACGAGTGTCCATCACCAAAAGCGAGCACACCAGTTATACCTTCAAATGCTAGCGCATGCCGTACAATCTACAGTAATCTTGTTGGGCCAAGAGATACTACAGAATCACTTGCTGCTTTTTGGCTTTGAGGAGCAGATTACACATCGTGTCACAGAAGCAGGCTGCCATTAAGTGGTTGCTTGTTATCTTAAGTTTCTGGCAGTTAACAGTCAGAGGAAATGTCATGCAGCGTAATCACAACTTGGCCCAAAGTGCATATCAGTGAGTACAGGTTTACAGATACAGGTAAAGGCTTCCAGTGAAATCAGGTGAAAAGTATTTCTTCATGGCATATGTGCTTCCATTAATGTCATCACGGAAAAACAATAGTTGAAGACTAAAAGGATTTTCTAGATCAACTGCATAGGTTAGTTAGTGAAAAGTTGCTGCAAAGTGAATGCAGTTTGGTGTTGGATTAGAAAACAGATTTAGATTATGTTTTATAAATTTATGGTTGCAAAGCTGCTAGTATTAAAATGTGCTGGATGATGTATGTACGGGATTATCTTCGGTTTGGATTCATGTACCTCTGATAAGAACAGGAATAGGGGATAAAATATTTTGCACTAAAATTTTGGCTTTTTAAAAGTTCAGCATAATCATCTATTCACCAACATCCCAACTACTGTTTGTTCTTAGACATCTTAGGCAGGTCATAACCTCCTCGGCCCGTGTTACTTTCCAGCTGAAATTAAGGGTCACTTGAGGCCCCGACTTTAAGCTTGAGTCCAAGGTCCAAGGTATGCAGGCCTATGGCAAGTTATGAGCATGCTGATTCAAGATCGAAGGCCTTCCCTGGGTTTCATTCCTACACAGCGCCGTTCTGTAGGCGGTCGGGGGTGAAGCAGCCGTTGGTCTTACAGCTGCTTTCAGCTCTCTTGTCCCGGGTCAGTTTGTTCCTGGCCTTCCAGCGCTGAGCCAGCGGCTCCAAGAACAGGGAGAGGGAGGAGAGCAGATAGCAGAGCCCAGCCAGGTAGAAAGAACAGTCGTAAGTCTGAGTGTAGTCGTACAGGAACCCTGCAAAACACAAACAACACAGGGACACTCCTAGAGTCTGTCTATTTATTGGTGAATACACTGAGCATGTTTAATTTATGGTAACATAACTTCTATATATCATGTAGAGACGAGTTGAGGAGGAAGAAGGCTGAAAGTGCTTTATTAGTGTATTAGTGTTTTATTTTTAACATTTCTTTCTATTTGTGTGTATAAATCGTAAAAACAATATATAACTCTAACAATATTAGAATATGTATCATTAATGATTTTTTTATTTCTATAAGTGCTTATGTAATTTTTCTTGTTTTTTGGCTTCTTAGAGACTTTATACTTAGTTAAATTGTCAGAATGATAAGTCGGACTTGTAAGTTAGGTAGCCTAACCTTTCTAACAAGGCACACTTTATAAAGCATTTGTAAGATGTAGCTAATTGTTTTATAATGGCCAATGACAGATCATTATTAGTCCATTAATAAGAACAACCTTTGGGTTGCCAGGTTGTAAAAAAAATCCTTATGGCCTTCTAGCAAAACAGTTGTTTTATTTGTTTATCTCTTTATTTCAAAAGGACCTCACTTCTTTATTTATTACTTATTAACATTTAACTGTAGATTTGATTACAGCTTATAACACCTTTATAAAGCATTAATAAATTATTTAACAATTAATTAACCAATAATGAAGCTGTTAATTACAACAAAACCCTTTACAAAAGTTTCCTTAGCGGAAGGTGGTGGTTGGCCCAGAAAATACCCTTTGAGGACACTTATGTTGTCCATCAATTTAAAGTGGTGTTTTTCCCGATAATGGATATTTAACATGTTTAAAGTAAACCCTTTATGTTTCACATTTGACATATTCACATTACAGCACGGCGAGGGATCACCTTTTTATTATGCATGACCTCAGTGTAAACTATACTGCAGGTGACTCATAACTTCCTGTGTTTCTGTGTTAGTTTTCTTTGCATAAGCCACTCTGACATTTTACTTCACACAAGTGAACCTTGAGCCAGAAAATAAGCAGGTATGACCACAATAAAGCCACGGCTGAGCCAGTTAACAGACAGTTGGCTATCGTGAGGAGATGGACCAACAACAAGAATGTTATCACGCCCTGTGGCCTAAAGGAGGGATCATAGTTTGCTTAACGTCAGTTTCTTAGTTGAACTGCAGGGATGGTAAACAGAGCCACATGCTATTTCCGTATTACCCTAAAGGGGGCCATTAGTCACATTCCAACCCAGAAATACATAAGCTACATAGAGGGGATTGCCTAACACAGTGGGCAGGGACCATGTCATTCGCTTAAGGGGTCCCCACCCTCCACAATTTTAACTAGGGCTAAATGTTACCTGTAAGGACATATTCACAGAAAAAAAAAAAGGATGAATATTTGATTATCACAATAAGATTTGCTGTGTTTTTCTGTGCAGTTCACAAAGTGAGTCAAACCCAGCCATGAACACAACACTGTTTTTCTAAAGGTCTGACTTGACTGGCTTGTAGGCAGGATGAAATTTGACCCAGTAACCCCTGCATGTATTTTTGTCAAAGCAACTCCAAAAACCCAGTCTGCATTGAGGGCGGCACTAACTGTAGGTTGTTTTTCTCCTTTACGTTTCAGTTTTCACACTCCTTAGTAACAGCATGCACAAAGACAGGCACACACACACTTGGGGGCTCTGCAAGGAATTCAGGGCCCCATGAAAATATGTGCACCCCCCAAAAAAATATACGTTCATAAGAAAGGCTTATCAACCCCTGCACTGATCCCCCCCTCACCCCTCACCCCTCACTCCCTACCCCCCAACACTCATTCACTCTTTTATGGACACACACACACAATAACACACAGAAACATGTGAACAAACTTCACCTTGCCCTCTGTGGCACAAATCACTTTTGATCAGTAATGTCACAGCTAATGCTCCCATGCACATGTAGTGTATATGTATGTGTTTGTTATTTATGCAGGAAAAGTGGGTTAACACATATCTGACTCCTGAGGGTTTTCCATGACATGATCAACTTACCTGCTAGAGGAGGCCCTGTGAGGCAACCCAGGCCGACAAAGAACATGGAGAAGCCCATGGAGTTGTTGAGCTTCTCCGACCCCACGAGATCTACCTGCAGGCAGAATAAAACATTCAGACACGCCGGCTTGTAACTGCCATTTTCATTCTTATTTGCATTTTACAATGTGAAGATAACATTTCCCAGACCATAAAATCATGCTAAATGAATAGCTACTAGGAAGCTGAAAACATTTTACAACCAGTATGATGTAAAAAAGAACAAAAAAACAAAACAGTTTAAGTCCAAAACGATGGATTACTTAAAATATCTGCAAGTTACTTTATACACGTCATGTCATGAAAGGAATGAAAACCGACTTGAGACAACTTCAAACACTATAAAATACGGTAAGTTTTGGAAAATGTGTGTGTATTTTTGAAATAAATTATCTAAAACATGACAAAAACACAAACTCTGTGTTTTAATATCTGAATAAGTCATCACAACATAAACTGAAAGGAAAAAAACCAAACACATTTAACCAGGCCGGTTGTCCCTGAGCAGTGCCTTTGCACGGCATGGACGTGGGATTTGTTAAAGTAATGTAAAAAATAAAGATAAATGAGCTAATTAACTTTAGTAAGCTGGTTATCTAATGCAAATTTTACTCAATGATCAGAATCCTGCATCCTGTTTGCATATCCTGCGTGTGTCAGTCATTGGGGGAGCAGTATGTGAATCCCACCTAACCCGGTAAATAAGACGTGATTGTACTTCAGCAGAGAGCAAACAATATGTTAAGTGCAAATGTCCCTGCCTCCAGGATCTCAGCTTTTTTTTTCTTTTAGACCGAGTTTTAAAGTGTCAGACCAGAGCTGCATGACCACCCTGCCAGAAATCGTGTAAGTGTCGTATCGGTGTGGGGGAGGCTTTGAGACAAGGGGTACATAGCTACAGTGGGTTGAACAAATGCTAATACAGCATGCCATAGTCAGGATGCTTAAGTCAAGGCTACAAGCTAACTTTTTGGGGCTATTAGTTTAAAACATTCAATGCTGTGACATGGGAATAAAAACCTCACTGAGAGCTAGCCCCACAAAAGTGTGCTAAATGCAAAACCAGACAAAAAACGGTTATAACAGAATATAGTATATTTCACTGCTTTTCAAACATTACTTCAGATGCAACAGAAAACATTAATAACTGAGATTTTGTTGTTGTCGAGTTCTAACTTCTGTGCTGAAATACCTGTCAACCAATTTGGAAGAGACTCAGGTTCCAGGCGTTTGGTTTGAAACTTATTTTGTTCATATTTGTATTACAGATGGCACTTTAAAAAGAAAAAAAATTTTCAGGAAACAGATTTTCTTCAGCAGGCCGAGACAAGTGTTAATACAGTTTTTTATTTAACCGAAGAAGAAAAATGGTTTGACTAGTCTTCCATTCACATTGAGGAAAAAAAACACTGATCACACATTAACACCTAGAGGCATTTCCCGGCCTTTGTGACCACACCATCACCAAGTGAAAACACACCACATACTGTACATCCGTTTTCAGGTGTGACATGAACCGACGTTACTGGATACTCGCTGACTTAATAGGATGTTCCACCCATAAAAGACATTTGGGAAACATCTCCAACGCTCGGCTTAAAGGATACCTCTCCCTTTCAGTGCGTGACATGATGATGTAATTAAACCACTTTTACATGGTGCAAAAGTCCCCATACACAAATACAGTTATTGTGAATTCGCCAGATTAGAGAGTCTGATACTGCAGGGGTCTCGCATGGTAAATAAACTACAGGTTTATAACATAGTGAGAGTGACGCTGGTTAGATTTGTGAAAAGTCAAATATATTGAGATTGATTCTGCAACATTCACCTGCTTTCATTCATCTTTATAAAATTTTTAAACAGAGCTACTTTTACTCTCTGTCCTGCAAGGTATCATGATGAAGAAACCATGACGGTATTTTGTTCTGTTACACAATTTTATCATTTTTATTATTTTATTTTATTATTACTATTTGAGACATTTCTTAGACCTTTGATTTCATTTCCTGATGAAAGTGATGTAACAGATTATTTTATGGGTCTGTAATTTCCTAACAATTTGATTGCAAGTTCCCTGGAAAGAATGATGTAATTTGGAACTCTACCATAATATATTGTACAGAGTGTCAGACGTCCACCATGTTTACTGTCATTAAAATGAACAGACATTTCTGATAACTGGCTGCTAGAAAATAACTCTATACAGCTCTCTCAACTCAGTATTTGTATTCTGTTGGAGCACTAGAGCTCATTAATACTTTGCATCAGCAGTTTATGTTTAATTCTTAAAATGCATTAGGAAACACGTTGTGCTTCTCTGCACCAGCCATGACTTTGTGGCGAGAACACTTTCCATTTGTCGATGCATCACTAAATATGATTTATTAATCACCACACCCTCTGATCTATAATCAGAGGGTGTGGCCAGCCCTACGGCACTTAGTGCTGTTGCACCTACGTGAGCCAAAATATCAGGTGCACCTGGAGCTGCCACTCAGTCTGCCAAAAACCTATTGTCTGAAAACAAATCTGTTCAGTTTATCTGCTGTGAGCTGAACAAATGACTACTGATTACAGTAGCAATAAATTGCAATAGATATTTTGGATTTACCAACTGAATTCCATCTCCCTACAATAAGTACCAAATTAGCCTGCTCAGTCCATTCCTACAAAAAAAGTTCAGATATTTTCTCGGAAATTCTATAAAACTATGAGACCTGTAAGGTTAAGCAATACTGAACATTATAACCCTACTAGTAATAGTACACATGCATGCCCATATTCAAATAGGATGGACTCCTTACTAAAACAGGCAGCAGCAGAGCCATGTATCCACCACAGAAGATGGCAAAGAAGATGGCATAAACCATCAGCAGGATGTAGGAGGTTGCCAGTGGGGAGAGCAGGTTGACTAGGCCACAGAGGATCAGGTAGGCCTTGTGGTAGTGGTATTTATGGAACAGGTTCCTGTCTGTCACCCAGCCCGAGGCCAGCTGGGCAATGGTCTCTGTGATACCTGCAACAGAGGCGGAAAGGTGGTTTGAATAGGTGGATGAGAAACAGGGACAGAGTGAAGAGTGAACAACGGTGGTAAAAGTGAGATTCACATAATTTTACTGTAAGGTGAGAACGAGTTTCAGTAAAAACCTGCAGCTTTCGCAGTTCGATGATTTGATATGGCAGTTACTATTATAGATAGGATGTTGGTGATACTACAGATACATTTATACATTTTATTCTTTAATTGTCTTATCATTTGTTTTTAAATGTATGTACCCAGCTTCTAGGAAAGCAGTACTGATACTGAGTGGATTATCCTAGTTAAAGAAAGTAAAGTAAGATGTTTTTAACTGTTTCTTAAAGGCAGGAATAAGAGAAGAGAGGCAGACTGGGGAATGCATACAATAAAATATTCAGGTAGTAACAGGAAGCTGCTCTTTGGTAATGGAGTTTTTGATGGAATCCAAAAGACAACAAGAGCAACTCTTCACCTTTAGATAAAAATGTCTTCAATAATCAAGAAGGTTCAGATTTAACCTTTTATTCTGTTAGCTTCGTAGGGTTCACAGATGCATTAAAGAGTTGTGAGCATGCTAGCATTTAGCTCAAAGCACTGCCGACAGTCTCCCAGAGCTTCTAACATGGCTGTAGACCCTTAGTCGTTGTAATTTTGATGAATCCGCCATTTAAGTTCCACATACTTTCAACCATCACGGTTGGTGTGTCATCGCTCCATTTAATCTCCATTCACCTACTTCGACATCTTGCCGCCCCCTCCAATCTAAGATAATTTAATGCAGATGTTTCCTGAACTATGAAATTCATAAAACACTGATAGAGCAGACCACAGTGGTCAGAGGCTGACAGTCCTGACTGCATAAAGACTACAAAAAGAGTTTAATGCCAAAGTCAGCCACTGTACATTGTAGTTCACCTGCATCTAAGGAAATCTCTAAAGGCATCAACCCAAAGTTACACCAAAGACCTGTGAGCATACCCAATCCTGTTCCTTTAAAATGCAGTAATCTTATGCTTAAAAAAAGGAGTTGTAGTGTGCGTGTGTGTGTGTGTGTGTGTGTGGGTGTGTGTTTAGGTGGGGAAAAGAAAGCATGTGAGGGAAGAACGACACTGCAGCAAAACTAGACAGGCCTGCATTATTTTTAATGTCACGTCTATTTCAAATTTTTCCTGTTCTCTGTAACAAATATATTTCAGACACAACGTATCTATTTGTTTACAGCTGTATAACACTGGTACCACCCACGCAAACTACTCATTATGCACTCCATCCCATCTGATTGATTGTTTGCTCCAGTCGGGTATGATGACTGGGCAGATATGTGCTGCTCTCTGCTGAGGTCAACTGGAACACGATAGGCAGTGCGGAAACTGCAGTGGCGTATTGACCGTCGCAGGAATAGCTACAAGCAGGCAGCGCTGAGCCATTGATCAATGAAACAAACTGGTTCTATGCAGATCAGAGTTACCCATCCTTTGCTTAGCCTCAGCACCACAACTGCACAGGCTGCAGCCACTGAGACACTCAGCTTGAACAGATGACAATGCTGCTGAATATGGATGGCTTTGCATACATTGGTGTGCATTACCACGTGTGCATGTTAACTTTTATTGTGAATAAAGATTGCATTAATCTACATAAATTAACATGGGGATGTAATTAATGATGATCAGGTACATCTTCACTTTTCGAGGCTTTGAATGAAGTTCAAATGAATAAACAATTGAATGCCGTGTCAGTGAACACCTCTGCTTTCCTTACATAACAGAATCTGGAGCCTTGTGCTCCTCCAAGGTTAGAAAGATGACATGAGGCAGCTGTGGTGTGTTTATGTGTCCTCCTCTAGTGACCCAAGACAGTGTCCCGGGGTGTCCCCTGCTTGCATACAGACGAGTTGTGAGTTTGTTTGTGTGTTTTAGCCTCAGCAGGTTGGTCCAGGCCTGCAGCTGTTCCTATCCAAATTAAACACAGTGCGGTTTAAATTTGGCCTCTCCAAGTAGCACCTTAAGCCAACTGCATCAGACATTAGCTCTGTACATTTCTGCCCATAGCACTGCCAGGTATGAAAGGTGTATGTGAATCTCTGGGCATTAACAGACCATGTGCGAGTTGCAAGGCATGGAAAGATGCCATTCCTTTTGCTTCAAAGAGGGACATTTTGTCACTACATTAAAGCAAAGGGTTATAAAAGGCATGTTGGTTTTCCCAGCTTTTCTGAGGTTGCAGTTGGCTTGTCTTGCCTCTTCTTTTGTGCGTATTGCCGCCTCAGTGCTCCTCTGCTAAGTATCAGCCACTTTAGAACTGGACTCAAACAAAATTGGGAGCCCCTCTTGTCACCACGCCAGCAAATTTACTCAGTTAGCTGTTGCTTAGCGACTTCATTTAGCTCCAGTGTTGGTGGCTGAGGGTTGACGAACAGACTGACCCGGACGATAGTGGCCTCCCTCCCTCAGCTGAGTCAATGGGCCTCTATGACAAGCGCTGGGTCTGGAAAAGAGGGACAGCAGGACACTGGCATGGCGGCTTTTTGGTGTGGGTAGCACCCCATTTCTCCAGCTCTGTGTCTTTTTCTCTCTCCTTACAGGCCACATGACCAGAAAATGTGACAGAACAAACGTGTCTGAGTGAAAAGAATCTGTCAGTCTTGCTGCTTGTTGGCACGGACTGCTGGCACAAAGCTCATAAGTAACCTCACAGACCATCAGAAAAAACTCAGACACCTCTATCCTTTTTGTACAGATTGGTTTAAGAGTCCATAAAGCATACCTGTCAATAATTGGAATGTATCATGTGTAATTTTATACAATGTTTTTTGATTCCAGTCTAGTTTTGGCTATATGCACAAATGTTTTCATCCCAGCTGTTTTTTGTGTTTTCTTTTTTTCATTTCCCCTCATTTTCTCTACTTCTTTCTTCTTTTCTTTTACTTTAAAATTACAATTAGTTTTTTTCAAAAAGCTCAAAATGCATCACTGAAACAGTCTTTCAGGCAATCTAAAACCATTTCTTCAAAATAATTGAAGAATAATTCAAACAATTATTTCACATAGAAGAGATAAAAAATGTAAGAAATGTAATTTAAATGTCAGCACTTGTGTATGACAGCAGCTTCTCTCCCTTTATTACATCCTAAAGTAGGGATGGGAATTGATACCAATGCCATTATTGACTATCCTTAGCCCTCCGATCCTTCATGGATTCCCTTATTGATTCCTGATGAATTTTCTGTGTGGAAAAAATTAGGCTTCCACAGGTTCAGTGTTCAGGTTTCAGTGTCAACATTATTGTTAGGTCTGCATCTGCCTCAGGTGTGCAAAAGCTCCACTGTTAAAACTCTGTTTACTTTAAAATCAGTTCTAAACTGCCCAGTTGTGAAGCAGTGGCATTCGTGTGTAGAGTGTCTAATGCATGGCAACAATTGTAATTTAGGCTCATGATGTATAGAAGACATTATAACGAGCACTTCTTCATAAAATGAAACCACACTTTGGGCCGTTTCTTCCTCTCCGCTATAGCAATTTCTTGACGTCACTGTTTTGCAATGTGCAACTGTCAGAAAAAACATACAGAAATTGATACAATTCTAATGGATCAGACCATTGAGAACTGGTTCCTTGGAACTGGGTCTTGATCCCTATCCTAAAGTAAGTGTTAACAGATGTGTTTCAGACCATGTAACTGTCATTATTCTTATTTAAAAGACACCTTTCATCAAAGGTGATACAATATCTGTCTGCTGAGGACTGATTACCAAGAGATGGATTACAACAGAAGCATGTAACACATCAATGCAAAACCCCATCTGGAACATTTCAATTATTCACAAAGCCTGACCAAACACCCTTAAAGAATTACATGCACATGTGGTCAAAATGTTAATGCTGTTTTCTGTTCATATGCAGAGGCCTCATCAATGGCATACTGCTGAACCCACCCGCCCTGGCCAGTAGACCAAAGTTCAGCTTTTATGTAAGCACATTCATTACATAAGACTGCAGAGTCTGAGCAGCTCACAAATAATTAATGCCTAGAAGTTGACTGAGGACTTTTTTTTATATTGCTTCTTAAACCCAGTGTTAAAGAAACCTAAACCTCCATCCTTTCAGTCAATGTGAAATCCCTGATGGAAGCCCCATTTAAAGACAAACGGCAGCAATCAACTGTGTGTTCAATCAGCTGTCTGTCAGATTTATAAAGAGCGTCAGGTTTATCATTTGTCTTTACACTTTATCCAAATTTCAGTCAAACACATAACTGGTTTCTAAACTAGAAGATGAGAATAGGTGAGTGGTGGAATGAGGAGTCAGACACCACACTTGGATGCATTGTACTTTTAGTTTTGTATGTTATAAAATCCCCAACTCTGAGATTAAAATGATGTTTTGTTATAAAGTCAATGTGCAGTTTTTCCAGATTTAAAATTACAGCTGTGAGGCCGCTAATGATAACTTCTTTTAGAAGGACATGCTTTGACAACTCTGTCGTTGGCTGCTGAGTTAATTCTGTTCTATATATGTCAAATGATTACCTGAATGATGGCTAGAAGCTGAACAATTTAGGTTTTAACAATAACTCTTTTTAGTTAGTGTTGCTGAAATTTCATCTTCAGGATCCTCCACTTTAGAGTAACTTAAAGAGATGTTTGAGCCCCAACTCAACTAGTACCCACTTTAGGAACCATCATTATAGTTTAATTATTTGCTTTATTAAAGATGTTCAAAATATTTATAAAAATATAATTTTAAAAATAAACACTTATTGTCTTGTCATCACAATGACTGTTAAATTATGGATTTCTAGCACAAATATGGAGTTGTCCATATCCATCATTAATAAATGAAATTGTTTTTATTTGATTAAACAAACAAGATGTAATGTTTTAAAGGTAGGGTAGGCAATCCTGTTCAGAAGCACGTTTTGTTATACTGGGTGAAATGGTCCCTCTGTTGTCAGAGGAATCAATTCGTTATGTCTTCAGAAAAAAGAACGGAGAAAATCAGAGCTTCTCTGTCAGCTGCAGGACTGAGAAAACTTTGGACCAATCCGTGCCCTTCGGTCCGAAGAGCAACAACCAAGCAGATGCCTTAATGTCTAGTTCTGCACTCCCACCCCCCTCTGTCCTGCCCTGCTGCACGCCGCACGATGTAGCTGTTGCCGGAAAACAAACAGCCACTTCTCAGCAGAAACGCCAGAGTTACAGAGCGAACAGGTTTCATGCTAAATTCTGAGAAATAACTGAGAAAGTACCGCTTCCACGGTTACTTGTAACGGCTGCCCCGAGAAAAAGGCAAAGAAAAGAAAGCCGGGGAATGAAAAGGCAAGCTAACAAAAAGGCTGCTGGATAAAGCAAGAAGGTCAAACCAGAGTCAACATCAGTGTAGCTTTTGAGCGGTGGAGACAACTGAGGGATCAGCCGAGGTTCGCCTCTTTCCTGCCTGGACAGGTATTTATTTATTTTGGTTTTGGGATGATTTGGTTATTTTCATGAAATATGTAACTTTGTATAGCGTAATGCTAATATTTATGCGTCTCTGTTAGTTTAAAACGGGTCCGGTGACGGCTAGTATTGAAAATATTATATTATATTGAATTTTTAAGATAATTACTCTACCATAGTCGTCAGTGTCTGCATTATTATTGTGATAAAAAGACGTATATATTGGCTTTTACGTTTTACAACTGCGGTGATGTAACGTTAGCTTAACGTTAACGTGCCAGTTTGTACAGCTGAAAGGATCTACAATAATTCATCAGTAACAATACTGATAATGAATTAGAATGTTTATGTATTATTTTAAGCACAAAATATAGATTTCCTCTGGTTCCAGCATCTCAAATAAAAGGATTTTCAGAATATAGTTATATATGTGTGCTTACGTCTGTTAACAAAATAAGAGGACGTCTCTTTGGGCCATAAGAAGTTGTGATGGGCATTTGACTAAATGATTAATTGAGAAAATAGTTGATGAGTGAGTCAATTAAATCAATAATGAAAATAACCTAGCCTTGGAATACACATTATAAAATATGATTATGTAACATAAGATCAAGTCACTAATGAGTATTACATTCATAATATAAATCCCTAAAGGAATATGTGATTTTTTTTTTTCTGTCAGATTAATGAAGACAGAAAATAGAGGCATGTATCCCTCTTAATTAATCTAATTTATGGATCCTCTTAATGATATGTGGAATCTAATAATGATGAGTGATCAGTCGCTGCTCTTCATTTGTTACCCTACATCTTGAGAAAACACCGATAACATCGGTCTATTACAGTATGATACACCCAATAACACTCCCTGTCAATGATGACCACTCGGCTGCTGGACTCAGTGGATGCTCAATTACAGGAAATCTTAAATATCCGCACAAAAACTGCAGGTTCAGTCTCTTAACAACAAACTGATTGGAAAGCCACTATGTTATCAAGTTAGCGTGTAGTCAGATTCAAGCTTAATTGGAATAAATGCTGATTGTTCTCATCAATATCAGCTTTGCAGTCTGTAATTAACAGCTGTAAACAAGCTGAGTGTGTTGAGTTAATGAGGCGTGAGCACCGGGGGAAGCTGAGGGAGTATAGACTGCTGAGAGATGACCTGCACTGCAATAAACACACTGCAAAACGCTGCAGAGAGAGGCATGACATCGAACCAGGGCGACTAAATGCTTCCTACATGCAGGAAGCACTCACTCACTCACTCACTCACTACTGGTAACACAGACATAAAGTGGGCAAGTAAATTATTCCTGAAAAGCACACACCAATTAAAATCTCAAAACTAAATGAGATCTAAAAAGATAAAGAAAACAAGTGCATGTTTGAAATGTGATTTCACGTGGCACACGAGTAGGAGATTTATTGCATAATAAATGCATAAACCCTACAAGACATTTAATAGTTCCTGCAATAACAGATTTCTGCAAAAACAACACCGACATATCTCCCCTTTTCAACTCTATATAGTGGACATTTTTGCAAAGAGCTGCTTATTTACACATCCAGCAGACACGGTGCAACATAAGCATTCGGTTTCTGGTCCAAGGCTAATATTTACTCTCTTTTAGCTCTGTTTTTGGTCTCCACCCACTCCTGAGGGAAATATTTGCTATCTTCAGCTGCTAAATGCTCCACTGTGTTCACCAGCTAGCTACTGGCTAACTTTGTCTGTGTGTCTGCATTTCAGGTGCTGAGCAGGAAGTGTACAGCTGCCTGATGTGGACAAAAATGGCACGTTGAGATGATCCAAAACAGTAAAGTTGTGGACCACAAAACCAAAACAAGGAACTGAAAGATGCTATGAAACTCTTATAATTAGTTTTTTTTTCTTTTCACATCACACACAGTCATTTCCGTTCCATCCATCCATTGTTACTTTAGAAATATTGATTATAGCTGCTTTCCAGACATTTTAAAGGCACAGTTATATTTAACATGTATATGTGATAATTTAAAGGAACACCCAACACAATCCTCCTATCCTCTGGGACCCTCTCCATTCTCTCATACATGTCCGATTGATTTACATCATTGTCATTCTCAATGACCCCTTGTATGCAGTATGAAATTTACATTTGTCATGTTTCTCCACTCATTCATCAGCTTTCTCCTTTAATTTGTCACCCGTTTGTATGTTTTTCAATACTCTGTTACAGGAGTTTTGATCATTTCCCACCAACAACAGAGTGAATACTTAGCTTGAAAATCTAAAATTCAACATGCCAAAGAATATGAAGCAAGCCAATCTGGACTAATTTTCAGAAAATTATTTAAATCTAGCAATTACCAATAAAGACAGGTGTAAAAAAAACTATCATAGGGTCAGAGGTAGAGGGCTCGTCCACTAATTAGAAGGTTGATGATTCGATCCCCGGCTCCTCCGGTTGCATGTTGAAGTGTCCTCGAGCAAGATACTGAACCTCAAATTGCTCCTGATGCTTTGTTATCGGAGTGTGTGTGTGTTAATGGGTGAATGCGGCAAGTAGGGTAAAGTGCTTTGAGTGGTCGGAAAGACTAAGAAGGCGCTATATAAATCCAGTCCATTTACCATTTACAATCAAAAAGTCAACACTGTGGGAGGCTAAATGTGTGGGAAGTGTCTGAATCTACTTTTATTTCACTACTTTGTAGGACTGACTCTAATCAGAGGTAGTGAGCAGGAGAAAATACACTTTGTTGTCCTTGAGCAAGACATGTAATATGATTTTAAACTCAGCAGTATTTCTGAAGAGTCGTCTGGTCCTTTGTACCCACTTTCAGGCCATTTTCACCTCAGATATCTCCAAACTGATCTACATTTGTCCTTGTACCCCCATTTGACAAGATCTTGCCCCAGAAACTCTCATCTCAGGAGATATTTACTGAAGATGATGAATTTTTCATTCTGAAGGTGCAGAGATAGCATTGGGGAGAGTGAAATAACACTGTAATACTTTATT